CTCCCTGCTGCTCTGCCCCTTGGGCTGGGGCCGGCCTGTGGTCGCTGTCAGGTAGATGGTGCATGCGGTCGGCCCGAGAGAGATTCTGTCGGGCTATCTGTGTGTGCCTGTTGGTTGCTCAGGTTGGGTTTTTGGTGGCGCCCCTCTCTTGGATCAATTTGGGCCCCACGTTTGGTGTGGGGCCTACTCCCCCAAGTCGTGCCCCCCTTTGGCGGGGGGCCCCCTTGCCGCCGGTGCATTGGTGGCTCTCGGCGTCTGGGCTGGGTGGTGGGGTGTACGTCGGTCCACCCTGGTTGCTGCCTGGCGGGGCCTGGGTGCCCTGGCTCTGTCGAGGCTCTGCTGGGGGGTGGTATGGCCTTGGGGCTTGGGGCTCGGTGTCCATGGCTGGATCTACTTGGGGGGGCATGGATTGCCGGCCGGACCTGTGGGCTCGTCGCTGCAGCTTCCTGGAGTCTCTGCATTGTGGTGGCTGTGGTCACCCGGTTCTTTCCTCTGCTCCTCTCTGGGGGGGTGCGGTTCTCCCTGTTGGGAGACTCCTGGGGCTCCGGGCCTGTGGGCCGCTGTGTGTCTGTGGCTCCGGTCCTCCCTATGTTGCCATTGTGTCCTAGGGGGGCGGGTCTGTGGGCCCCCGCGTCCACTATTGGGCATTCTTTTGGAGAAATCTGGTGGTGGTGGGCGTGCTTGCGCGGGTGTTTGGATTCAGGTGCTTTGACAGATGCACGCTGGGTTGGGTAGTGGTGGAAGCTAGATGATTCCTTGTGCGATGTCGAATGTTTCATGGTGATATTGTGGGTGGCATTGTGCTGTGCATGTTGTTTTGTCGTGGTGGTCTCTCGTTTTATCTATTTCTCTTTAATTTATTTATTTATTCTTCTTTCTTCGCTTTCTTTAAAAAAATTAAAAAAATAAAAAAAATAAAAAATTGAGCGATGATGATAAGTTCATTGAAACAGTTCACAATGTTTCTACACTTAAACTGAGCTAAAAAAAAGTTTTTAAAGCAGCATTTGATCAAACTGCTATGAATTATTTGAGACTGAAGTTGTTTTTAGATGCTAGTTTTACTTTGGTCTTGACTCCACTTGTCATAAAATCATCAATCCAGTCAGACTAAATGAACTTGTTAATGAAAAGTGCATTACAAATTGAATTCATTATTATTATTATTAACTGCACATTCCTTAAGTGCATGCCTTGAATATACACAAACTGTACAAGAACTCAAGTAAATGGAGATCACTGTTAGTTCCTCTGTATTTTTCAATGAGTACATTTGTCAATTTTAGCTTGTTTATTTCTCATATATTATTTCACACCAATTTTTGACTACAACTGGTACAACTGGAAGCAACAATAGTCATCGGAGCATAGCTACAATGTGGTGAACGCTATTTCTTGAAATCTATCAGAGATATTGTGAAAACCGATTTTGACGTAGTCCTTACTAATGATTACAGCTATTTTTGTAGAATAAAAATAGGATTTGTAAATGTTTTACATGCTTTTCCCATAACTACAGTGCAATATATTAAATGTGGAACAATTGCATATAACTCTTTTACTTTATACAGCAATGCATTGTTTTTTCTTCTATTTTTACACATAAGTAATTTGTGAGATCTCCATGTCAACTTCTCATCAATAATGACACCCAAAAATGTCATTTCTCTAACTGAATGAATTTCATTACTATTAATGCTACTTTGTAAATGAAACTTCAGTATTTTTCTCTATGTTACTAAGTATCATATAATTAGTTTTATCCAAATGTAATGATATTTTGTTTATTTGAAACCATGTTTCTATTTACCTGACTTCTGTTTGTATCATCTCCAATAACTGTCCAATATTCTCACCCGCCAAAAAAAAATTGTGTCATCGACAAATAAAATACTGTACATTGTAACAGTTTTGACACATTGACCAAGTCATTCATATGCAAAATACGCCTGAGTAAAGAACCCTGAGGTGCTCCGCATTTTGACATAAAATAACTAAGAAAAAAAACAACAGTTCTGACATTTATTGTGTTCCACAGTAAAAGTGACAGAAGAAAGGACAATGAGTTTGTATCATGCCATCTATTGTCTTTGTGGCACAAGCACATAATCTTTTGTGATTTGCGTAAAAAAACATTTTATTCGAAGTGAAGTAATTCAAAAAGCTTTATACAATCACTAAAATGTTTTTTGTTCATATCCTTTACACAAAAACCTACTTTAAAACATCTGACCTTTTCATTTAAGCACTTTTTCAAGTTTTAGTGTTTGCAAAAAAGTTTGAAATCAAACTGTCAGTCATATGACAGATGGGGGCCGAGATGGGGTAGAGGCAGGGCAGCTGACCTGGGACCCCAAAGTCCCAGGTTTGATCCCCAGTCATTGCACATCTCATGGTGTCTCTGAGCAGGACACCCCCTCCCCAACTGCTCCCCGGGTGCCACCAATAACCGCCCACCGCCTCACCTGGGGGTGATGAGTTAAATGCAGAGAGCCAATTTTGTCATTTTATGGGAACATACAATGATCATAACACATTATTATTATATGTAGGTCACAAAACATAAAAATAAACAACACAAAACCTATGTGATAATGTACGGCAGCTGTTTTACAATATAAGGCTTGTTTCTACTGTATACTTATGCTGATGAAGATTGTCAGTCATCCAGGACATGATGAATTCAAAAAAGTGTTCAATACAAAAACAACTGGACTTTGTAACAGAAGAAGTTTTGCTCCTCATCCGAGGACCAGTGGTATAGCTAATGTAAAATAAAGTTTTTGTGTTATCATATATGGCATCTGTATTTACTGCTGATTCACCATTTTGCTACTGAAGACATACAGTATGTAAGAGCGGAAAAGCAGTGCAGCTCTGTAAGTGCAGCAAGAAATGTTGATAGTCCTGCAGATGCCACCATCACTTTCGTCATCTACCAGCATGCTTGCTTCCCATCATTTTAAGAGGGGAATCAAAGTGAAGTGTCCTGTCAAGACAGTAATACTGCTGTGATGAAGTGCATGTAAAGTTGGGTGTAATGGGACTCCCTTGTATATTAATTTTTGCAAAAAGCATTTGACAAAACTCAGAATCAGCCCTAATTGAAAAATATGTAAATGAAGCAGCTCAAGACAAGCCAGTTTTTAATCAATCAAAACACATTTGTGAAAGTGTTTTTTTTTCCCCCTTTTAACACATAATTAAAAAAGTCTGTATAGTTTGTTTCAAAAATGCAAAGAAGAGGAGCATGCTAACAGTCTTTTTCTTGTCTCTCTGCTCTTTTCTTCCATGCCTGCTCCTCCAGTTGCTATGTACAGAGAGCCATCCTTGCACGATGTCGGAGAGACATTGCCCAAGGTGCCAGTACCTCCCAGTAAAAGCACAAGTGAGCCAGTGGTGATGAACGGAGGCAAGCCTGTCAGCAAGCCCGACAACCCCCCCACATAGCCATATCTGACCTGTGTCCAGTGGATGTGTGGAGGGGAGGAATGTGACAAAGGCGAGGCATTTATTTCCCCAGCCAGACTCTAGACTCTTTTTTTTCTTGTGGATTGCATCAATGCAAACCTCTCCTCCTTTATTCTCTCGTTCCTCCCCTTCCTACTTTATTTCTTCACAAATCTCAGTGCAGATGGATGGATTTTGGGGTGGCTGAGTCCATCTATCCAGAACAGGAGGGAAGATGACTTCTGATCATGAAATGCCTTTAGTTTTCTCTGCAGCTGTGAGAATTCATGTGGAAAACACGTGTTTCACAGTGACGCTTGCGGTACTTTGCCTGATGAAAACTTCTCTACAGTTGCGTTGCTGCAGCAGATTCTGTGTACCTTCAGATCTATTTTCTATACCACAGTTCACCAGCTATGTTCTGGGATAGAGACTGCATAAATAGAGTAAATCTTTGGACTATTGTCCTATAATTTTTTACAAGAACTTTCCCCTCTCCTACTCTTTCTATCTCTAATTACAACTATTATTTTTGTTGTCAGTGAAACCTAGAAAAGAAACAGATTTTGCAAGAGATATGTATGATTTTCTAAGAAACACACCAACAAAGATGAGGCATAAAAATGCTAACATGCAAAACATTTCCTAGTTTTATTGTGTCTACAACATGCATACCCCTAAAACCATCAGATATGTTGCTTTTTTACAGCCCATAAAAACACACTGGAGGCTGTCAGATAGCTCCCGTAATCATAGTTGATGAAGTGCTAATTACCGCTACTGCAATCAATGTAAGGAGAAGGAGCTTCCAACAACCCCCAACACACACATGCACACACACACATTTATAAACAGATGTGCATGTGAGTGGGAGAGAGCTGTGATGAATCGTAGACATATCACTATCTGTGTCCCACCAGATGTTCAGTCTGCCTCTCTGGTAAATAAAGCAACAGAAGACTATTTTTCTTTAATCTTATTTCAGAGTGTGGGCTCTAGGAATATCTCTAGGCCTTGTAGGCCTCTGTTCCTCATACATCTACTTCTGTGGACTTTCAGGCAAGGCTTGTGGCTTTGACCCAGATGGTCTATAACTGCAACAATGGCAGCCATGTTATGGCGGCATCTACTAAAATGAAGAAGACAACATGGCTGAGCTGAAAGCCGCTGGATGCCGTTTGTACCGACTGCATCCGGATTTGATTCAGCAAAAACAAGGTTAACATTGTTCTCTTTTTGTGGCAGTTACACAGGAGATGGCTTATAACATAACATTGTATGAAATGTAGGGAAAATTGTGTTTATGTTTAATGTCATATTTTATTCTAACTTTTTAAATGACATTATTATTATTAGTAGTAGTAGTAGTACTACTAGTAGTAGTAGTACTATTACTATTATAAGAGGATTTGTCTCTTAGTTCAGCATGCAGAGTCCAATACTAATCATCTTGGCCTATCTTGTGCCTGTTTGGACCTTGATTCCCGGCATGCAAAAACAAGATCCCAGTCCCCAACTGGGCCAAAGGTGCCTCACTCACCCAATAGATCAACATAGAGGACACGTAGCATCTTTCATTAAAATACCATAATCAAATGTAATCATTTTGAAACAACCAAAGTGTTTTTCCATCTCAACCAGAACTGAGTCTTAAGAAAAAAAAAATCCTTCAAATCTGATTCTTGCACAGATTTATTTCATTAAAGCTCTCACTGTGATAGCATTTGTTCTGTTTGAAAGAATCAACTCTCCTCAGACCCCCAAAGATCTTGACCGATGTCATTTTATAGGAGAACTACATGTAACCTAAATTAATCACATGCATGTGTTTTTTATGATGAGTAAGGTATGGGCATTGTTTTTTTCTTCTGTGTGAGCAAAGGACCGCTAAGTGGGGCTTGAAAGGGCATGACACAGGCTTAGTGCACCCACTGCTCACTTGAAAGTAAACCCTTGCATTTTGTTTTACATCTTTACTGTTTGATAGAGTTACCACATCTTGCTTTACGAATTTCTTTCCTACTCTCTGTAGACTTTTTTTTTTAAATATATTCAACAAATTGCTGCTGCTGTATGCTGCTAAAGTGCAAGTATATAAAGAAACTGGTATGGTAAAAATACATTTATTTTAGTTAGATTATATGTGAGTGATTTTTTTTTACAATACATTTTAAACATTATTTTGCCATTGATCATTGTCTGCACATGTAGGCAGGGCTGATGTTTTACCCTTCTTATTCCAGACAGTCATCCGTTACAAACTCAACATGCTGGGCTGTTTTTTTTTTTTTTTTGCTCCAGCTCTGCAGTCCAAGAAACTTGGTCGTCCAAGGCTGGCATTATTTTTCTACACTACTGGTGTGTTAATGTAAAACATCTTTATTTTATTTTTTGTGGGGGAGGGGGTGATATTCTCATCATTTTTGTGTTTGGGTTGTGTGTGCTGTTACTTTCAAAATCCTGATGACTTTTGCTCCTTTCCTCCTGAAATTTCTTTGGAGAAAATTCTAGAAACCTTGTTACAACAGGGTATAAGGGTCATTCAGAAAGAAAAAAATAGAAGATAATTCTGTTTGTTTCCCAGTTTTAAGAATAAAGTTGTTTTGTGGTTAAAGTGTAAACTTTGTGCTCAAGATCTCGATTGGTTTTGTTTTGTTTCTATTTTTTTCCATCCATCCATTATCTTCCACTTTTTCGAAGTAAGGTCTCGGGCCAGCAGCTTGAGCAGGGAGGCCTAGACATCTCTTTCCACAGCCACCTCTTCCAGCTCTTCTGGGAGAACTCCAAGGCGTTCCCAGGTCAACCAAGGGATGTAGTCTCTCCAGCGTGTCTTGGATATTCACTGGGTCTCCTCCCAGTTGGACATGCCCAAAGCACCTCCCTAGGGAGGCGCCCAGGAAGCATCGTTACCAGAAGCCTGAACCACCTTGACTGGCTCCTCTCGATGTGGAGGAGTAGCTATTCTACTCCCAGATAACTAAACTTCTTACCCTATCTCTAAGGGAGAGTCCAGCCGCCCTGCAGAGGAAAATCATTTCAACCTCCTGTATCCATGATCTCATGCTTTCATTCACTACCCAGAGTTCATGACCATAGGTGAGGGTAGGAATGTAGACCGACCGGTAAACAGAGCTGTGCCTTAAAGCTCAGCTCTCTCTTTACCACTACGGACCGGTACAGAAAACACAATACTGCAGGCACTGCACAAATCCGTCTGTCAATCTCACGATCCATTCTTCCCTCACTCAAGAACAAAAACCCTGAGATACTTGAACTCCTCCACTTGAGGCAGAACCTCACCCTCTACTTGAAGAGATCAATCCACCCATTGAGGAACATGACCTCAACCTATTTTTTTTTTTATTACTATAGTTGTATCCTACATCCTACATACGTACATACATATATACATACATACATACATACATACATAT